TTTTTTTTTTTTTTTTTTTTTTTTTTCTCTCTTCACATGGATGTATTCGTAGAAGCTGAGTCGAGCTCAAAGTGTATTCTTTTTTTATCCCGTATTGAGGCACCGACTCAAGCACCTTTTAAAGTGTTAGCACCAGGGGAGAGAGCTTCCCCCCCTCACACCGTCAATATGAGTGAGTCGACCTTTTTTTTTTTTTTTTTAAAAAAGAGGGGCACACATAAATGAAGAGAGTTACAAATGCACAGTGCAGAATGGTTTTTTTTTTTCATTGTAGGGTAAGGAATATTTGTCCTATTGGTTGGTACCAGTTGGGAATACACCCAGGGGATGGGTTCACATAAAAGGGGGAAAAAAAAAAATAATAAAAAAAAAAAAAATGAAGCAGACTTTCCTTTCTTAACCTTTGGCGCATGAGGTTCATCCTCCCGGATTATAAAAAAGGGGAGGATAGATTGATCTGGCCGACGTCGCGTCGCGTCGTGCCGCTTCGCCCCTATGTGAATGCACACGTGTACCTGCCAACTGCTCGTTAGATAAAAGTGGACTCGTGCAAAATGTAACTGTATGCGGGGACCATATACAGGAGTGTGGCAATGTCGATGAGCCCACACCTCTTTTTTTTTTTTGTTCTTTTTTTATGACCGCTTGGTAAAGCCCCAAGAAGGGCGACCCTTCCTGCGGTCCCAGTGAAGAACCACATGGTGGGGATGCTCCACACGGAGATTCCACCCTTCACGTTACCCAAATGTTGGAATTATTTTTTTTTTTTTTAAGATGGCGTAACCTCTTCCTTATGACGTACTGTTCGTCCCGTTTGCTTTCCCCAACCCTATGCTTTAAACGTTGTGCAGGAAAAGTTGTGAGGGCTTCGTCTGGGCAGGACGCCAAGCAAAGAGACGCACAGAAATAAATGTGCAAGGGGAAGAATGGCCAAGTGGTGAGAAGTAGTTGGTAGTACCCCAGGCATGAAGCGGCACTGCTCTACAGGGATGCCAACCGACGTTGTTCTTTTCTCTCCCTTTGTGCCTCCCCCAACGCAGAGACACGTGCCGCGAAAATGGCGTCTTTCCAAAGTGAACGGGGTGGGTAAAGACAATTGTAAAAGCAAAAAAAAGAAATTAAAAAAAAAATTAAAAAAAAAAATTAAAAAGTGAAAGGAATACACACACGGACAAACACATTCCTTCATCGAGGTGGCAGAAATTTTCCAGCCAAGTTGCTTCACAGCTGCAGAGGAAAGAAATTCTCACCGCCGTGTGAAGTGGAACGTGAGGACTTGCAGGGTCAGACTAGAGATGTCACGCGTGGCATGCAGCACACAGCACACACCGCGGTAAACATGTGCGTACAACGCTTTGCGAAAAAAAAAAAAAAAAAAAAAAAAAAAAACACCAATAGCTGCGCGCACGTGCGTGACGGTGGGGAGCAGCACAAAAGTACACCGCCACAGCACATAAATGAATAAATAGGCCATACCCACCCGTCGAACAACAACAAAAAAAAAAAAAAAAAAAAAAAAAAAAAAAAAAAAAACATTCATCAGTTAGGAAACGCGAC